ATGCAGTCAAAAGACATGCTGCTTTAACTGAGGAATTAATGAATGAAAGTCTATAGACCACATGTACCCTGACGAGAAGGCGCCATATGGAAGATGGTGCCAGCATATGAGGGTAAGAAGATATGAAGATCTCACTGCCAGCAAGTTCTATGTTCCTGGTCCTATACTTTCTGTCTTGACTCCAGCAGCTCCACATGAAATCCACCCCTATCTGTGGTGACTTCTCTGCACCAAGAGCAAACCATCAATATCACATAGTTTTGGGGGGCACACAGGCTGGCCCTGATCTCCATGTGTCACTGAAGGAGGTATGTGACTTTAAGCAGGACACTGACAGCTAGACTTCCACAACTTCATCTGAACAATGAGAATGGAATAGTGCTTTACTTTCAGAGTTGGCTCAATAATCAAGGAAACTGTGATAGGAATGCAAAACCTACTGTGAAATTGTATGAATTGTCTTTGGAAAACAGAGAAGCAATGAAGGGAAAATATAAAGATTTTCTGATGCACATTTCCTCTTCAAAATGTCATATTTACATTTCAGGCACATTATTTACATAATCTGACTTTCTCTTTTTAAATATTGCAAGATTTCATTTCTGAAATTGATTTCCTAAAGCTAAAACCAAATTATTGATATTTTACTACAGAATGGCGTTTGGCAAAGAAATTATCACATAACCCTGTTATTAGTCTATTACCAATCAGTGTACTTCATTAAGCATATTTCTGGAAAATTAAAACTGTTTCTCTAAAAAAATTCTATTTTTCCTATAATTCATTAATAAATTCCCAAGCATGTAGTGTTTACAAAACAGAGTCTTCTTGTGAGTTTTAACTGGGTAGGCTTTCTCATGCTTCCATATGAAGAGGACCCTTAGAGAAGCCCGTTAGAAGACACACAGAGGGATGCTTGGTTCACAGTCTTGAGTTTCCTTCTCAGATGGAATACTAAGAGCCAAACAAAAGCCTCCCAACTGTGGCACACAGAAGCCCAGTATATCAGCTCACAATGGAGCTATGATCTCTTGCTGTCTCACTCTGAGCAAGTGAAAAATAAACAGAGGAGAGATTCAGCTAAGAGAGAAAAAAGAGTGTGTCCTCTCCTGTGGGGACTGATGAAGACACACACGTGACCTTATTCTCCTCAAAGGAAGCAATAACTGCTCACTTCTGGCACCTGCACCTGGTGGCCCCAGCCTCTGAGGATTCAAGATGGTGTTGATGGACCATGGCATGAAAGACAGTGGGCACCATACCTCTCTTGGTAATAGGACTGTCCTTTAGGGGTTTTAGTGCTATGAAGAGACACCATGACCATGGTAACTCTTATAAAGAAAACATTTAATTAGGGTGGCTCACATATAGTTTCAGAGGTTCAGTCCATCATCATCATGGCAGGGAGCCTTGCAGCCAACAGGCAGATGCAGCTGAGAGTCCTACATTTTGCAGGCAACAGGAAGTCAGTTGAAATAGTGGGCAGTATCCTGAGCATAGGAAAACTCAAAGGCCACCCCTACAGTGACACACTTTCTCCAGCAAGGCCATACCCACTCCAACAAAGTCATGCCTCCTAATAGAGCCACTCCTTGTGAGATTATGGGGGCCAACTAATATTCAAACTACCACACTGACCCATGATTTAGTTTACCGAGTTGAAGAGAGCTGAGGTGACCTAGACTCATTTAAGGCAAGTGTAGAGAAAGCAATAGATTATGTCATGCTTTGCAACTGCACTCCTATTTAGTGCCAGAAACATCTCACATGACACAGGTCCATGTTGTCCTGACTGTTATCCTGTTCTGTCCCCAACAAGTCCCCAGGAGAACTTCGTTCTAACAAAGCAATCAAGGCTTGGAAATTTGGTACCCTTTCAGCCATACTCATCTAGAATATTGCTCTGGGCTAGTCCACAATGTCCCTGTTATCCACTGAATGCTCACCATTTAGGAAGTAGTGGCATCCACCTCAGACTAGACTTAAAGAAATTTACACAGGAACAAGTTTCAGATGACAGCCATTGGTTAGAAAGTTAGAAATCAGACATACACAAAAGAGGGTGGCTGATAAATGTCACTATCCACTAACAAGGTTCACACTACAATTGCTCAATAAGAGTACCCTGATAGTATTCTTTAACTCTTTCCAATACCAAGGAATGTCATACAGATTTCATTTTATGAAGTAATCCTGGATGGAAATGTGTAATAGTTACACATAAAAATAAATAAAAAACCTTTCTTCTACATAAGAACATGCAAAGACCTTGAGATTTTACAATCTATACATCATCCCATTTGATTCTATAGAAAGTCACATGTGTGAGGTGAGACAGTGAGGCTAAAGTACTTTCGGAGTCATGGCCAAAACTATCTACATCAGGTATACTATGAATTTCCTGCCTCAGGCTCCCTGTATAGAAACAGAATGACCTGTATGTGGCAGAGTCTTACAAGAAGTACAGTAAAAATTTCACTTCTACATAAACCTTCAGGTATGCCTTACTCAGGGGGATGGACATGAACAAAGCTTCCAAGCCCCCCTAGAGCAGAACTGTGCCAGAGGCCAGGATACATTTCCAGTTACCAACACGTTAAACATTACAGTACTAGTTAAGTTTACGAAGTTCACAGTCCCCACCATTTCTAAGAACCCGGGCCTGCATGTTTCCAAACAAAACTTCAGAGCACACTGTGGTCAACACTGGACACTCCTTAGTGAATAAGAGGACAGGGCATGGGGTGTGAAAAGCCCTGAGGACACTTGGCTTTCCCTGTACCTCCGGGATCTCCATCCCTTCACTGCTGTCTACATGATGATGGAACCTGAGGAATAAACTGAAGCCAAGGCTGCAAGCGAGCAGGATGATGAGCTGCCGATGGTCTACGAAGATGAAACTTTTTGGACCAGCATCAGTGCTACTTCCCAGCAGGCTCTAAGAATAAGAGCACCGGCTCCCTCTATCTCACATTCTCTCTCTCCTCCTCCCTCTGCCCACCTCACTCCTGCCCCCACCCCATGTGTGTGCAGGCATGTGTCTGTATTCAAATAAAATATTAAATTATGCTGGGACATTAAGGGTTATTATATACTGACTAATTCTTTTTCACATCTATGACTGATGCCAATTACTACCTGCAGGTTTCCTCCAATGACAACCAGGGATTAGCAGAATCAGAGTAACCCATTTCCACGAAAGACCCCGTATCCTGGAATGTAAGATGCACACACTTCCGGTTTTAGGGTATTCAGAAGGCTTCTTGGCAAAAGTGTTCCCACCCTGGGGATTCCTCACCTGCGTGTTTGGTGGAAGTAGCACCTCTTCAGGGGGATCTTGGCCACATGCTCCTGCAGCCCCACGAACAGGACACTCTGGCTATGGAGGATCTGCAGGCTCCTGATGGGCTCCCTCCTCCTCTCTGGGAAAAGCTCAATTTCTTCCAGCAAGCAGCTGCCCGAGGTCTGACTCAGGGGAGCCCGCACTTTCTTAATGGTACCATAATCTGCAAAGACAAGACCGGAAGGAAATAAGGCTTGCAGGTAGCAAAGCCGTGCTCGGATAAGTGGAGTATGCACACAGCCATGATCATCAGCCCATGACATCATCTGAGCATCTTTCAATAATGCAGAGACCACTTCAATGGGCTGATGACACGGATATAATTTCATCACTAGACCCAAGATAAAAGAGAAATGGGTGTTTATTGGGGAACAATTACACAGAAAAATGCAAAGAACCACCTGAGCATTTCAATGCCCTTCCTACTGGATCCGCTGACATCAAAAAGAGTGGGCAAAGGAAGGCCACGCCTGAAGTTCCTCTCTTTGTGCTTCTGTTTGCCTGAAGCCACACCCAAAGGGGTGTAGCCACTGTTAGAGGTCCACAGACCAGAAGCCTACAATGGGTCCCTGTGGACAAAGGGTTCAAGGTGTTGTCAAAGAGCTGCAGTGGTACAGTGTGAGAACAGCTCATCTACCACTGAGCTCATCTACTACTGCCTCCTCAGTGGCAAGCCCAGGAACTAGGGCCATGCTAACCCTCATAAGAATGGAGAGGAAAGGAAACAACATATATTTGTTTGGAATCTTTTTACATAGACCGAGTCCTTGGCCTGGTTTGTCTAAAATGTTTTTGTTCTGAAAGTGCAGGGAGAAAGGCAGATTATCTCTCCAACTATCTGTTGTTAGTCACTGAATGCCAGCTGAGAGGGAAGAACCTCTGGTGAATGGTGACTACTCAAGACACAGCTGAAGCTTAGTTTGGGGCCTGTGCTTGTCTCTGGAACTCTCTACAGGAAGAACAGACACTCCTATGATGCCAACCCCAGGGCATGTCTGACTAACCCATGGGCAAACGAAGCAATCAAAGCAAGAAAACCACTTCAAAAAGAAAACAAAGAATAACACCACCACCCCCAAACCAAAGAGAACTACTTCTATGTCATTGTAAAAAATCAAAGACTTAAAGATTTGTATAAATACTAAAGTTTACAATAAAATACAGCCTTTATGTAACCATTTGCTCTGATACATAAGGTGTAATGTACAAAATTTAATTATTAGTGACAGATTTAATTGTATTTTTGCCTTTGGGGGAAAAAGCAGATCTTTTCTGATTTTCAGTAATTTCAAAAAGATTCTATTTTTCACTTAGACAGCATTAGCCAATTTAAATACAATCAGTTGTAACCATCTCTCCCTGGTGAGCAAGTATGGCTTTTAATAAGTCAGGGACTTCTATGAACCCAGCTGCATCCACCCAAAGTGATTGAAGTCTAGGTTCTCTGTACCTTGGGATCAACTGTGTTTGGAGAGACAGTGTTTTAAGATGTAATTGAGATAAATGTGCTCAGTGTAGGTCCTCCTCTGATGTGACCAGTGTCCTCACAAGAACAAGAGGCCAACACACACACACACACACACACACACACACACACAGAGGAGGACCATGTGAGGACTCAGAGAAGAAGGCGTTTACATGTGAAGGATACAGAGAATAGGATAAAGGAAGCCTGGGGCATTTCACCATTGACCCCGGGCCCCCACAGCTGTTGTCACACTACAGAGTCTCTAGGATTCCTTCTGGTGATCCCAGAAGATTCATCTATCTATCTATCTATCTATCTATCTATCTATCTATCTATCTATCTATCTATCTATCATCTATCTATCTATCTATCTATCTATCCATCCATCTAACCATCCACCTATCTATCTCCAAGTAAAAAGTCAAGAAACACAAAAAGTAGAGTTGGTTATCCAGATAATTTTTTCAGAGCAATTTCAAAACTTTATTATTTTTCTAAAATACTATAATTCAAATTTTAATCCACTTTGTAAAGTTTACATTAGGAAATGGGAATACAACATGGTGGTAGACACCTCCTAAACATGCACAAGGTAACCCCTGTACAGCAGAAAGAATAAATAAATATGTTAGATTAAATTGTTTTAACCTTGTATAATCACATGATTCATATTGTAAGCAGACTCTTAGTTTTAATTATTTTCATATTACTGCATATATGAATATACACATAATACATGACTATGGATATATTGACACATACATAAATTACACAATTACACACCTGTGACATAGAGAAGTTATAGTTATATGTAGTTATAGGACAGGTAAAATTTTGATAATGTGTTTGGTTTAAAATATAATAATTCCCATAGAAGATGTTATTGTTCAGACCTTTGTTCTGATGTCTCTGCTGGGCTGTGGGGAGAAATCAGTACTAAATGAGTACTCACCAGTGAAATGTGAAGAACCCAAGGAAAATGTCTGTTTATAACATTTGTGTGCGTGCATATGTGTGAGACAGACAGGGGTTGCGTGTGTGTGTGTGTGTGTGTGTGTGTGTGTGTGTGTGGGTGTGTGGGAGCGCGCGAGAGAGAGAGAGAGAGAGAGAGAGAGAGAGGGAGAGAGAGAGAGGCATGAGACAGGGGTATATATGCATGCATGTGTGTATGTGTGACAGAGAGAGAGGGGTGTGTGTGAGTGCATGTGTGTGAGAGAGGGGGTTTATACACATGCATGTGTATGTGTGAGAGAGGGTAGAGTGTGTGTGTGTGTGTGTGTGTGTGTGTGTGAGAGAGAGAGAGAGAGAGAGAGAGAGAGAGAGAGAGGTAGGTCAGCAAGCTCATGGGCACATGCAAGGAGGTTATTAGGGGATCGGCTCTATCCCTGTCTGCTTGCTTTCTTGAGTCAGGGACAAGGTTTCTCACTGAATCTGGAGCTAGACTGGCAGCCACCAAGCTTGAGCGCCTCTCCTGTTTCTGGTGACCCCAGTGGGGTTACAGACATGTGTAACCACACCAACTTTTCACCGGTTTCTGGGGATTTGAACACAGGTCTTCATTCTTCTGTAGTGAGGACTCCATTTCCCCATCCCTATATTGAACTTTTTAGTGCAGAGTTTCTGGGATTTAGTTTTGCAAGCATTTCAAAAGTAACATAAAAACATATTTTGCAGCAAGGGGATGAATGATGGAGAGGAAAAAGGTAAGGAAAAGAAACAGTCAATAAGCAACATTTGTTATCATTGTGTGGAAACAATTCTTGTCTTTTATTATTTGGGCATGATCACATAATCTTCAACTTACTGCATCTTAACCATGATGAAATGGAAGCTCAAGGCATACATGAAAGTCATATGTTATATGAAAAAATTGCCTAATCTTAATACACCTATGATGAAAGATGACTCAGAAAATTTAATATATTTTAAGAACAGCAGCCAAACACTCTGCTAACGCACAGGAAGGATACACATGTTTTGCCTGAAATGTAATAATGATTTTAGAAGACAGAGATGTTCAAGACACAGACGCATGGCTTCACTTTATAAGTAAAGGACAATATTCCTGCCAACAAATAAAGGTAAATTTTTCTGGGAAGATGGATAAAGATGGAGATATTCTCACAAAGTGCTAAGTCTATTATTTGTGCTCTGTTCTTTATCACATCTCTAAAGTCTGTCATATTTTAAGGGGATGTGTTCTAGTTAAGTTTCCATGCACTGAATACAGAACAGACGTAAAGGCACGAGGCATCTTGGACAATAGACCCCTGTGATGGACAGAGATTCACTGTGGACTCCAGGACACTCACCCAGGAAGCTAAGTGACTTTATTTCTCATTGTACTCGAGGCCTGGTCTGCTATTATGTCGCTGTAATGCAGAGGCATTTTTGTCTGTGTGTGTTTGTCTCATCGACCCAGTAACTGCAAAGATACAGGAAGCCTTTGTATTTGCATCTGCTACCATCCAAGCATTACCAGTGCGGTAATGATGAAATACCTCCTCCCACTCACTGGGCAGCCTGTTACTATAGCAACAGATCATTATATAAAGTTCATTAATTTAGCTAGCTGCTATCCCAATGTGGCAGACACCTAATACATTACCAAAGTTCTTTCTCTTAACTTGAAATCTGAGCAAATGGATTAAATGGCTGTTGGCACTAAGAATCAGTATTACGTTTATATAGCAAAGGGGAATTCAGGCAAAAACATAGGTCTTGGTGGCCAGTACAGTAAAATCTGTCTAAAAAACAGATTTTAATTAACTTTTTTAAAATCAGATTCAAATTACTTTTCCCTAAGAAGAATATGATCACCAGCCGAGACATTTCAATCATGTATTACATGTAATACTCGTTAATTTCAAATAATTCTATTCAACCACAGTCTACAAAGCCAGATGTCACAGCACACAGGCTACCTTATTCATTGTATCCTTTCTGACTTGCAGAACAGTGCTTGACACACAGTAGGTACTAAGTTAGTGCTTGAGGCTCACTAGGTGCAATAGACACCAACTGCCCAGACTGGTCAAACAGCTCTAACATTTATAAGCCTATGTAACCCCTGTCTCTCAGCCAGTACCCATTCCACAGTGTTGGGGCCACTAAGTGAATTTATAGAGAACACTGAGCCATCATGCCTTCCTTGCTACTGCCTGGCCTGCTGTGGAACAGACAGCCCAGCCAGCTACCTAAACCCATTAGTACTCACTCCACATAAGCAGAGGGAAATGATATTTCTTTTATAGCAACTTTGATTGCCTTGCAAAACACAACTTCAATGGCCCTTTCAGTAGACTGAATCATAAGCTGGTGCTCACAGGAAATTTACCACTGGAGTTTCCTGTGAATAAAAACCATATTACATTTAAAACAAGAATGCAATTAATGGAGTCCCACGGGTATCCTTTCTGAAGCTCTCATCTAAGCTCACAGCTTAAATCTAACTCCAGCCATTCTGTTAAGGAAGTAATTCGGGTTTCTAAGAGGAAATTACTTGCCTTGGATTTATTGTATCTGAATTACCAAACAACCACCCAGTTGGCAGCCCTTGTCTGACATGGACCAGGCAACACTGCAGTCTAAATTATCCCCTCACCCCCAGTGGTAAGATTTACACTGTGTCTGCTCCCATTAGTTATCGATTAAGATAGTTAAGAAAATCTGTGCTAAGCATTTTTGCACCTATG